GTCAAAACATGACATACTAGTACTACCTACAAAATTAAAAGATCTGATTAAATAAGAAGATGAATTGACGATAAATGTGTGAAAAATAGATATCGGGATGTAGATCAATATCTGGTGTGTGCACCATGTTGGGCGATACATGCACGACGCCTTGATGGCATACTGTTGATTAACCTGTGTATGCTGGATTCCCTGCCATTCCGCATGAAGAGCTAGACGCTGGGTCTCTGGCGTACAGTGGGCACGATGAGGTCTGGCATTCTTATCTTGCAGTTCGATGTTTTCCTGCAATTCGAGCGAATGGAACAACTACAGAACGCAAACTTTCGTCAACATATCACTGGTGAGTCAAATGTCCATTCAAAACAACCTAAACTAGTTCACCTGGCATGTGTGAAACCGCCACTGTAGACTTGGTGTAACATCATTGGCGCACAACTCACCCCTGGTGTTGGCAAGCTGAACTCAATCTTTATTGGGATTTAAATTATGGAAGCAGATTATGCCAAATCATTCAGTCGCCTCAGGCTTGGCTGCAGCGATCTTAACGCAGATCAGTAGAATAGACATATCTTTGATACAAAAACTTGTTCCTGTGTATATCATACCGAAGATGCTCTACACTTCTTTTTTGTGTGTACAAATTACTATGCTCTTCGAAATGAAATGGATTTTTACCAACATGTATATTCTTTACAAACAGTGCTATGCGGAAATTAGTATTTGAGTAAGGAAGAGCAAATGCTAACATTAGATTCTATTCAACACTTTATATTAAAACCTGGCCGATTTTCAGTTAAATGATTGTTTAAAATAAAATGCAAATAGATGTATGATATGTACACATCTAGCTTGGCATGTACAATTTATTTGTTACATCTAACCTTCATTTATGTATTCATTGTAATGGAGCGGTATTAACATAAGCACTTCGCTTGTTTACCAATCCATTTTCACACTTTTGTGAAAATAAATATGTTTAAACCAATCTTTACCCCTATGATTGACGTTAGGGTCACACCCATCACGTGACGTTTGCCTTCAGGCGGGCTGCATAAAGCCAGTTTTAACGGTTGCATCGGGGACTTGCACTGAGTGGTCCAATGTTTATTGTACGAACGGCCATAGATTCAAATCCATCAAATGCATCCACTACAGTGCAGGGACATTTTACCAATATATTCACATGTTTCATTTCAGTACATTTCTACTCTTGAAGGCATAGTTAAAATGTAACAGTTTTAAATTTTGACAATTTGTTGTTGCCATAAGGCTGACAAATTGTTGGTTTGAAGATCCAATTACATATTTATTTGGTATGTATTGCTTTCGAATATCTCTGAAGGATGGACATAGAAAGATGAAACGATACAGATCTTCCATATTATTTAGGTCATAATATGTACATAATCTTTCAAAATTTTGGAATCTTGTGGTTTCTCCCCATGTCAATATTAAGCTTTGTACATCGAACTCGAACACAAGCAAAATCGGTCGCAAATGTACAAAGGACCGAATCTATGAAATATTTTCGCTGCTTTCAAGGTTATCTTAAATAGAGTACAAATTAATAACAAGTCCTTGGTTGGTTAATGCCACACTCAGCAATATTCCAGCTGTGGTCTGTAAATAATCGAGTCTGGAACAGACAATCCAGTGACTGACGTTATGATCTACGCAATTGGGATACCATGACATGCATCAACCAAGTCAACGAGCCTGACAACCCAAACCCGTTAATCGCCTCCGACGACAAGGATTGTCGCCTATTACAGCAGGCATGGGTTGCTGAAGACCTATTCTTTTCCCAGATCTTCACGGGTTCATATCTAGTACTTGATGATAATATATTAGTACATATCTTTCAGTCAGGCTTGTGATAGGTTAAGAAAACTAAACCCAAGCACAGCCAAGACCTGAACTAAATAGAATACGTCTAACATTACTTGCCCAGTTCTGTCTACGTACTGAATCCAGAATGAACAAGAACCTAGCGCCATGGGGCACATTGCAAGTATGTTTGTTCATATATAGTGACTATACATGGAGAAAGGGAGGTAACTCCAGAAGAAATCATTACAGCGTCATTTTGTTTTCTTTTTACTCTGTCTTGACAAGTTCACTGGAACTTTTTGTGAATGGCCTGATAGCAAGTACTAAAACAATGATCAAACCCACTGTGAGGATGAAGGCTGGTTCAGGTGCCACTTGTACATTGTGATTATTGTCACCCTGTACAAGATCCTCTCTCGATTTAAATAATTATAACAGTTCTCAGACAACCCTGTGTAGATCTTTTTGTAGAAACATAAAAAAAGCATGATAATTTCAGTACTCTGTTAAAGCTCTCAATGCTACTGTCGAACCAGTTCGACAGAGTTTGTCACTACCCATGTTGCTACTGTCGAACCAGTTCAACAGGCGAATAGCATAACGACACCCCAAATTAAAACTCGCAATAACTGCATACCAAGTTGGCTTTGCGTATCAATTAAATGACGGATGATATGCATAAATGCTAAACTTGCTAAATATCACAACCTTAATTAGCTTATTTACCTCAAAAAGAAAATCCCGCGAGTTAAAAAAGTATCTACCCACTTTCTCGGCACATAGCCATCCGTAACGGCCATTGTTGACTCCAGGCGCTTCACGTTGAGTGGCATGCCGTCCGATATTTTCTTTTAGATGTAGTATTTTTTTTAATTTGATCCCAATTGTGTGTTCTTTCATGAACTAAAAACACTGGAGTACCTTAATTTCTAAAAATTAGCAACTTTAGGTTTAATTAAATGTAAACAAAAACCACTTTGGTCGTCACATCATCGACTGGATAAAGCGGACACGATCATGGCAACGGTGGTAAACAAACAACTCTACCTGCACCCCGATGCCGTAATACCAAAACTTCACATTTTTAATATGTAACTTAAGTTTCTAAATTCAAATGCTTAAATTTATCAGTCTTTTTAAAAATCTAATATTTAATGAATTCGTAAATGGTTTCGTGAGAAAGACTTTCGCGAACATCGGCATTGACCAGCTGTTGATGAGCGAAGATGACACGTGTGGGCATGACATAACTCGCGATTTGTTTTGTTGAAAACATGACCACTAATAAGCTTATCGCCGAGCTGATACATGAAAATAACTGATAAAACACAAAACCTGAACGCAATAGCTTTATGACTGAAGAATGCAATAACAAAATATGATGTAGATTAAAAATATATCGAAATACTTGCAATTTTATCGTACCTGCTGAAAGCGGACAGCCTCGCCCCGATCTAAAATGGATGGCTTCGAGAAAGTCCCGGAATTTTTTCCCCGCCAAAATAAAAGGAAATGACGTAATTATCTATTGTAAACATAATCACTTGTTTATTACTAATTGACCTGGGTAGTCACGGTTGATAGAAATTTCAAAAGTTTTCGAATTACTTTGCGTTCCGCCCAAAGGCAACAAAACGTTTGAAGTTCCATTATGGCTTCCGCGATCGAAGATTTTAGGGAAATTTTCGGAAATTCGGAAAGCGAGGGGGATGACGATTTTTTCGGGTTCGATGACGTGAATTTGGAAGAAGTGGACAATTTGGACATTGAAGACGCCGAAGAAGAAATTTCATTCGGAGGCGATTAACGGGTTTGGGTTGTCAGGCTCGTTGACTTGGTTGATGCATGTCATGGTATCCCAATTGCGTAGATCATAACGTCAGTCACTGGATTGTCTGATCCAGACTCGATTATTTACAGACCACAGCTGGAATATTGCTGAGTGTGGCATTAACCAACCAAGGACTTGTTATTAGTTTGTACTCTATTTAAGATAACCTTGAAAGCAGCGAAAATATTTCATAGATACGGTCCTTTGTACATTTGCGACCGATTTTGCTTGTGTTCGAGTTCGATGTACAAAGCTTAATATTGACATGGGGAGACACCACAAGATTCCAAAATTTTGAAAGATTATGTACATATTATGACCTAAATAATATGGAAGATCTGTATCGTTTCATCTTTCTATGTCCATCCTTCAGAGATATTCGAAAGCAATACATACCAAATAAATATGTAATTGGATCTTCAAACCAACAATTTGTCAGCCTTATGGCAACAACAAATTGTCAAAATTTAAAACTGTTACATTTCAACTATGCCTTCAAGAGTAGAAATGTACTGAAATGAAACATGTGAATATATTTGTAAAATGTCCCTGCACTGTAGTGGATGCATTTGATGGATTTGAATCTATGGCCGTTCGTACAATAAACATTGGACCACTCAGTGCAAGTCCCCGATGCAACAGCTAATGGTTATAATGTGTTTGGATGTTTCAGTATGGTGGTGACATTTCAAGGAAAATGAAGTTGCTGAAGAAACAAGCAGAAGGTAAAAAACGTATGCGGCAGATCGGAAACGTGGAGGTGCCAAAGGATGCATTCATTAATGCCTTGAAGAGATGACTCTAGGCACCTAGGACACTTGGGTCAGGGGCTACTGGGCACCATGGCTACTTGGGACAGGGGCTACTGGGCACCTTGGCTACTTGGGAGAGGGACTACTGGGCACCATGGCTACTCGGGACAGGGGCTACTGGGCACCTTGGACACTTGGGACAGGGACTACTGGGCACCTTGGGACAGGGACTACTGGGCACCTTTGGACAGGGACTACTAGGCTACTTGGGACAGGGACTACTCGGCACCTTGGACACTTGGGACAGGGACCACTGGGGACCTTGGGACAGGGACTACTGGGCACCTTTGGACAGGGACTACTAGGCTACTTGGGACAAGGACTACTGGGCACCTTGGACACTTGGGACAGGAACTACTGGGCACCTTGGACACTTGGGACAGGGACTAATAGGCTACTTGGGACAGGGACTTCTGGGCACCTTGGACACTTGGGACATGCCTGTACAACACACATGTAAATCACACCTAGACAACACACCTGTAAATCACACCTAGACAACACACCTGTACAACACGCCTTGACAGCATGCCTCTACAACACACCTGTAAATCACACCTAGACAACACACCTGTAAATCACACCTTGACAACACACCTGTACAACACCCTAGTACAACACACCTGTAAATCACACCTAGACAACACACCTGTAAATCACACCTAGACAACACACCTGTACAACACCCTAGTACAACACACCTGTAAATCACACCTAGACAACACACCTGTACAACACCCTAGTACAACATACCTGTAAAACACACCTAGACAACACACCTGTACAACACCCTAGTACAACACACTTGTAAATCACACCTAGACAACACACCTGTACAACATCCTAGTACAACACACCTGTAAATCACACCTAGACAACACACCTGTACAACACCCTAGAACAACACACCTGTAAATCACACCTAGACAACACACCTGTACAACACCCTAGTACAACATGCCTGGACAGCATGCCTCTACAACACACCTGTAAATCACACCTAGACAACACACCTGTAAATCACACCTAGACAACACACCTGTACAACACCCTAGTACAACATGCCTGGACAGCATGCCTCTACAACAAACCTATACAACACAAGATTTGCTGCAATGCTGGCATTCCTGGGTCTTGATGACATAATAATCTACAGAACAAGCTGCTTGATTGTGAAATATGTACAGTAAATGTTGTTGTCTTTATTTGGGTCTGTTGTTCTTCTGCACATTCTCTAGTTAGAGGGCTGAGCTACACAGAAACATCACTCATCAGTCACGAGGACGTTTTTATTGAAAAGTAAAAGAAGAAAGATAAAATCACAGGGAATACTTCAGGTGCAGCTATAATATAAAAATGAATGTAAATAAAATAGATATCTGGTGAAGTTTACAAAAACGAGGTAGGTCAGAGGAGTACAGATCTAGACATCTACTTACTCACAGACATCATCATCACTTGATAAATACAAGACACAAAATAACAAACTGGCATAACAAATAGGTAGATCTCTGAGTGAAGGGTTTGTATGCCATAAATACGAGAGCTGGTCAAAAAGTTTTAAGGCTAACAAACAAAATCAACAATTGAGAAAGTGTTTTTAATTGTAATTTTCAACATTATCTCCCAGCTTTTCAAAAGGAACTTTTCTGAAGCCACCCTGATAAACCCTTTCACGGCAGCTTTGAGGTCATCGTCGTCGTCATATCGTTTTCCATGGTGTTCTTTCACTTCAGGAAACGTGGAAAGTCATGTCTGGCGACACATTGTCGCACAGCAGCCTTTGCAAGTCGAGGTGTTTGAGAAGAAGAGGCATTGTCAGGAAGTAGTAGAACACCAACAATCAGCCTTCCTCACTCCTTTTCTTTGAAAGTGGAAAGTGCCATTCCATGGATTGATGTTTTGACTCGGGATGATAGTGGTATGGCCATGTTTCATCAACCGTTTTGTGTTTGACGAAATCCTCCTCAATTAGCTCTAACTTTTCTCTGGCAATGTCATTTCTTTTTTCCATAGATCAGAATTTAGAAACCCTCATAGATTCTTTTATTACTGTTTACAAACTGAAACATTTGGAAGAATGGTGTTGGATGATAAATAGATTCTCTAATCTTTATCACTGTTCGAACCGAGAAACATGCGTTGAGGTTAAACTTATGACACAAAATAATTAAATGATAAAATTCCACACTATTGAAAACTGCCGACTTCGAAGTTTGTTAAAGTGCTGTATTCATGTTATATTTTGAAGTCGCTTGATGGCTTTGACAAAACAGTGTCTTTAAAAGCGACATGCCGCGCAAACATGTCCCACGTCAACCGACTTGGTCAACTCGCGTTACCTTGTCCATGTGTTGGTGAAGGGACACTGGGTTGCAGTTTCATTTCACTTGTGTGTATTTTTACAAAAAACTTTTAGAATGCAGTAAAAAAATGTTTTGAACGAACCCAATGTACATGTATAGCATCTCTGTATTTCTCTTTCAACAGTTATTCCCCTAAGCTTGCTGATTCCACTAAGTCGGACAAAGACTGCATGTTCTTGAATTTGAAATTTGCAAATAAGATATTTGATGACTTATATTTTAGTAACTTTCTCAGACAAAAATCATTTTCCCAAAATGTCCCACAATATTCAAATTTCAGGAACCACCAAGAGTTTCACACAAACACCTGTATGGAACGTGTTGCAGAATGAGGACTTTGCAACTCATGATGTAAATTCCACAGCTTTTGGCTGTCAATACTCGCCATGTTGCTAGCAGTCTCTTGTCATATCTTCACAGGAGACTTCTCTAATGTTGATGATATCAACCTTCGTCTGTTATTCCAATATGGACTAACATAATATGAGCAGCCTCCATCCCATTTGAATCACAACTTAAAAATAATTATTAATGCTGTCAAAGCATATGTCCAACCATGGGCCCAAAGAGAAGGGGAATATGTTGAATGTATTTCAGAGCGGATGAAGTCAGTGCATGATGTCATTGGTAGAGTGTACAAACTGAAAAACAGGAAGCAGAATCGGAACCTATTCTGTCCCAGCCAGTTGCCATCCCAAGTCTGGCTGCCGAAGAGTTTCTCGTTGTTCCCACTGACAAGGCCCCAAATAAAATAACCATTATTTTGTAAACATCACTACATGAATTTGGTTGATCAATGAACTTGGTATGCCAGTATGTTATTTCTGGAATATGGCACAAATACCGTCAAACGGCTTGGGGTTGTAATGCGACCTAGGCGTGGCAGGCCTATAAAAAGACACCCAGACAAGATTGTCTTATTACATTAATTGCATGACGCAATAGATACAAATCTGCTTCTGTTATCAATTGAGAATTCCGTACAATTATAGGAGGGCGAATTTCAACATCTACCGTTAAAACTGGCTTCATGCAGCCCGCCTGAAGGCAAACGTCACCTGATGGGTGTGACCCTAACGTCAATCATAGGGGTAAAGATTGGTTTAAACATATTTATTTTCACAAAAGTGTGAAAATGGATTGGTAAACAAGCGAAGTGCTTATGTTAATACCGCTCCATTACAATGAATACATAAATGAAGGTTAGATGTAACAAATAAATTGTACATGCCAAGCTAGATGTGTACATATAATACATCTATTTGCAGTTTATTTTAAACAATCATTTAACTGAAAATCGGCCAGGTTTTAATATAAAGTGTTGAATAGAATCTAATGTTAGCATTTGCTCTTCCTTACTCAAATACGAATTTCCGCATAGCACTGTTTGTAAAGAATATACATGTTGGTAAAAATCCATTTCATTTCGAAGAGCATAGTAATTTGTACACACAAAAAAGAAGTGTAGAGCATCTTCGGTATGAAATACACAGGAACAAGTTTTTGTATCAAAGATATGTCTATTCTACTGATCTGCGTTAAGATCGCTGCAGCCAAGCCTGAGGCAACTGTGAATGATTTGGCATAATCTGCTTCCATAATTTAAATCCCAGTAAAGATTGAGTTCAGCTTGGCAACACCAGGGGTGAGTTGTGCGCCAATGATGTTACACCAAGTCTACAGTGGCGGTATCACACATGCCAGGTGAACTTGTTTAGGTTGTTTTGAATGGACATTTGACTCGCCAGTGATATGTTGACGAAAGTTTGCGTTCTGTAGTTGTTCCATTCGCTCGAATTGCAGGAAAACATCGAACTGCAAGATAAGAATGCCAGACCCCATCGTGCCCACTGTACGCCAGAGACCCAGCGCCTAGCTCTTCATGAGGAATGGAAGGGAATCCAGCATACACAGGTTAATCAACAGTATGCCATCAAGGCGTCGTGCATGTATCGCCCAACATGGTGCACACACCAGATATTGATCTACATCCCGATATCTATTTTTCACACATTTATCGTCAATTCATCTTCTTATTTGATCAGATCCTTTAGTTTTGTAGGTAGTACTAGTATGTCATGTTTTGACATTTTTCATAAATATGAGGTAGAGTATATCGTAGTCTTCTGAAATTTAGGTGAAGCATGGATATTTTCTTTCTTGCCCGAGATCACTGAAACAGGGTCAGGGGTGAGAAGTAAGGTGATTGTTGGTATACTATTTGACTCCGTGAAAGACTGACAGAGATATGATAAAATGGCTGAGTAAACATTTTGGTATACCACTATTAGATAACTAATAATGATCGCATACTGCTCTCATATTTAGTCATCTTGTCAGAGAACAGTGTTAGTTCAGTTGTTCCCTTTGTTCAGTGTTAATTCAGTTTGTCCCTTTGTTCAGTTGTTACTTCAGTTGGTCCCTTTGTTCAGTGTTAATTCAGTTGTCCCTTTGTTCAGTTGTTCCCTTTGTTAAGTTTTGGTCCAGTTATTCCCTTTATTCAGTTGTTCCCTTTGTTCAGTTGGTCCCTTTTTTCAGTGTTTGTTCAGTTGGTCCCTTTTTAAAGTGTTTGTCCAGTTGGTCCCCTCGTTCAGTGTTTGTTCAGTGTTGTCCAGTTCCCTTTATTCAGTGTTGTCAAGTTGTTCCCTTTGTTCAGTGTTAGTTCAGTTGGTCGCTTTATTCAGTGCTTATTCACGTGTTCCTTTTGTTCAGTGTTAGTTCATTTCTTTCCTTTATTCAGTGTTGTCCAGTTGTTCCCTTTGTTCAGTGTTAGTTCAGTGTTTGTTCACTTGTTCCCTTTATTCATTGTTGTCCAGTTGTTCCCTTTGTTCAGTGTTAGTTCAGTGTTTGTTCACTTGTTTCCTTTATTCAGTGTTGTCCAGTTGTTCCCTTTGTTCAGTGTAAGTTCAGTTGGTCCCTTTATTCAGTGCTAATTCACTTGTTCCCTTTGTTCAGTGTTAGTTCATTTCTTTCCTTTGTTCAGTGTTAGTTCATTTGTTCCCTTTGTTCAGTGTTAGTTCAGTTGGTCCCTTTATTCAGTGCTAATTCAGTTGTTCCCTTTGTTCAGTGTTAGTTCATTTCTTTCCTTTGTTCAGTGTTTGTTCACTTGTTCCCTTTGTTCTGTGTTAGTTCATTTCTTTCCTTTGTTCAGGGTTCGTTCACTTGTTCCCTTTGTTCAGTGTTTGTCCAGTTGGTCCCTCACCACCATTGTTTATATTACTGGCTTTACCCTTTTGTATATATTACAGACTTCACCGGCCAACATGTTTTACCCTTCTGTGTACATAACATGCTTCTCCACTCCAGTGTAACTGTATCTTAAACTTACTCAACTATAGAAAGAGGGCCTCCTATCCTGCATGTATACTTGTCAACCTTAATCTGTACATCACTTGCTTGATAACAATGTTAGAACATACACTGAAACGTCGCTTCTCATTGTAATAAAGAAGTTGGTCATCCATATATCTAATCCTTACTTAGTACTCCAACTTCTAAATGCCCCCCAAAGAAGTCATTTCTTGTGTTTTTCAGTTTTAGACACCATCAAACGTGGGTGTATACTTTCTTTTGCCCGGCAGCCCGGATCGTATCGGCTGGGGCACATAAAGTGTGTCACTGTGGAGACAGGTGGAACAGAGAAAAAGAAATGTGTGTTAATAGCCGGCAGCTGATTCCACCAAGTCGGACAAAGACTGCTTGTTCTTGAATTTGAAATTTGCAAATAAGATAATTGATGCCTTATATTTAAGTAACTTCCTCAGACATGATATCAACCTTCGTCTGTTATTCCAATATGGACTAACATAATATGAGCAGCCTCCATCCCATTTGGATCACAACTTAAAAATAATTATGAATGCTGTCAAAGCATATGTCCAAACATGGGCCTAAAGAGAAGGGGAATATGTTGAATGTATTTCAGAGTGGATGAAGTAAGTGCATGATGTCATTGGTAGAATGTACAAACTGAAAAACAGGAAGCAGAATCGGAACCTATTCTGTCCCAGCCAGTTGCCATCCCAAGTCTGGCTGCCGAAGAGTTTCTCGTTGTTCCCACTGACAAGGCCCCAAATAAAATAACCATTATTTTGTAAACATCACTACATGAATTTGGTTGATCAATGAACTTGGTATGCCAGTATGTTATTTCTGGAATATGGCACAAATACCGTCAAACGGCTTGGGGTTGTAATGCGACCTAGGCGTGGCAGGCCTATAAAAAGACACCCAGACAAGATTGTCTTATTACATTAATTGCATGACGCAATAGATACAAATCTGCTTCTGTTATCAATTGAGAATTCCGTACAATTATAGGAGGGAGAATTTCAACATCTACCGTTAAAACTGGCTTTATGCAGCCCGCCTGAAGGCAAACGTCACGTGATGGGTGTGACCCTAACGTCAATCATAGGGGTAAAGATTGGTTTGAACATATTTATTTTCATACTCGCGATTTGTTTTGTTGAAAACATGACCACTAATAAGCTTATCGCCGAGCCGATACATGAAAATAACTGATAAAACACAAAACCTGAACGCAATAGCTTTATGACTGAAGAATGCAATAATAAAATATGATGTAGATTAAAAATATATCGAAATACTTGCAATTTTATCGTACCTGCTGAAAGCGGACAGCCACGCCCCGATCTAAAATGGATGGCTTCGAGAAAGTCCCGGAATTTTTTCCCCGCCAAAATAAAAGGAAATGACGTAATTATCTATTGTAAACATAATCACTTGTTTATTACTAATTGACCTGGGTAGTCACGGTTGATAGAAATTTCAAAAGTTTTCGAATTACTTTGCGTTCCCCCCAAAGGCAACAAAACGTTTGAAGTTCCATTATGGCTTCCGCGATCGAAGATTTTAGGGAAATTTTCGGAAATTCGGACAACGAGGGGGATGACGATTTTTTCGGGTTCGATGACGTGAATTTGGAAGAAGTGGACAATTTGGACATTGAAGACGCCGAAGAAGAAATTTCATTCGGAGGCGATTAACGGGTTTGGGTTGTCAGGCTCGTTGACTTGGTTGATGCATGTCATGGTATCCCAATTGCGTAGATCATAACGTCAGTCACTGGATTGTCTGATCCAGACTCGATTATTTACAGACCACAGCTGGAATATTGCTGAGTGTGGCATTAACCAACCAAGGACTTGTTATTAATTTGTACTCTATTTAAGATAACCTTGAAAGCAGCGAAAATATTTCGGTCCTTTGTACATTTGCGACCGATTTTGCTTGTGTTCGAGTTCGATGTACAAAGCTTAATATTGACATGGGGAGACACCACAAGATTCCAAAATTTTGAAAGATTATGTATATATTATGACCTAAATAATATGGAAGATCTGTATCGTTTCATCTTTCTATGTCCATCCTTCAGAGATATTCGAAAGCAATACATACCAAATAAATATGTAATTGGATCTTCAAACCAACAATTTGTCAGCATTATGGCAACAACAAATTGTCAAAATTTAAAACTGTTACATTTCAACTATGCCTTCAAGAGTAGAAATGTACTGAAATGAAACATGTGAATATATTTGTAAAATGTCCCTGCACTGTAGAGGATGCATTTGATGGATTTGAATCTATGGCCGTTCGTACAATAAACATTGGACCACTCAGTGCAAGTCCCCGATGCAACAGCTAATGGTTATAATGTGTTTGGATGTTTCAGTATGGTGGTGACATTTCAAGGAAAATGAAGTTGCTGAAGAAACAAGCAGAAGGTAAAAAACGTATGCGGCAGATCGGAAACGTGGAGGTGCCAAAGGATGCCTTCATTAATGCCTTGAAGAGATGACTCTAGGCACCTAGGACACTTGGGTCAGGGGCTACTGGGCACCATGGCTACTTGGGACAGGGGCTACTGGGCACCTTGGCTACTTGGGACAGGGACTACTGGGCACCATGGCTACTCGGGACAGGGGCTACTGGGCACCTTGGACACTTGGGACAGGGACTACTGGGCACCTTGGACACTTGGGACAGGGACTACTGGGCACCTTGGGACAGGGACTACTAGGCTACTTGGGACAAGGACTACTGGGCACCTTGGACACTTGGGACAGGGACTACTGGGCACCTTGGGACAAGGACTACTAGGCTACTTGGGACAGGGACTACTGGGCACCTTGGACACTTTGGACAGGGACTACTGGGCACCTTGGGACAGGGACTAATGTGCACCTTTGGACAGGGACTACTAGGCTACTTGGTACAGGGACTACTGGGCACCTTGGATACTTGGGACAGGGACTACTGGGCACCTTGGGACAGGGACTACTAGGCACCTTTGGACAGGGACTACTAGGCTACTTGGGACAAGGACTACTGGGCACCTTGGACACTTGGGACAGGGACTACTGGGCACCTTGAACACTTGGGACATGCCTGTACAACACACCTGTAAATCACACCTAGACAACACACCTGTAAATCACACCTAGACAACACACCTGTAAATCACACCTTGACAACACACCTGTACAACACCCTAGTACAACACACCTGTAAATCACACCTAGACAACACACCTGTAAATCACACCTAGACAACACACCTGTACAACACCCTAGTACAACACACCTGTAAATCACACCTAGACAACACACCTGTACAACACCCTAGTACAACACACCTGGAAAACACACCTAGACAACACACCTGTACAACACCCTAGTACAACACACTTGTAAATCACACCTAGACAACACACCTGTACAACACCCTAGTACAACACACCTGTAAATCACACCTAGACAACACACCTGTACAACACCCTAGTACAACACACCTGCAAATCACACCTAGACAACACACCTGTACAACACCCTAGTACAACATGCCTGGACAGCATGCCTCTACAACACACCTGTAAATCACACCGAGACAACACACCTGTAAATCACACCTAGACAACACACCTGTACAACACCCTAGTACAACATGCCTGGACAGCATGCCTCTACAACACACCTATACAACACAAGATTTGCTGCAATGCTGGCATTCCTGGGTCTTGATGACATAATAATCTACAGAAGAAGCTGCTTGATCGTGAAATATGTACAGTAAATGTTGTTGTCTTTATTTGGGTCTGTTGTTCTTCTGCACATTCTCTAGTTAGAGGGCTGAGCTACACAGAAACATCACTCATCAGTCACGAGGACGTTTTTATTGAAAAGTAAAAGAAGAAAAATAAAATCACAGGGAATACTTCAGGTGCAGCTATAATATAAAAATGAATGTAAATAAAATAGATATCTGGTGAAGTTTACAAAAACGAGGTAGGTCAGAGGAGTACAGATCTAGACATCTACTTACTCACAGACATCATCATCACTTGATAAATACAAGACACAAAATAACTAACTGGCATAACAAATAGGTAGATCTCTGAGTGAAGGGTTTGTATGCCATAAATACGAGAGCTGGTCAAAAAGTTTTAAGGCTAACAAACAAAATCAACAATTGAGAAAGTGTTTTTAATTGTAATTTTCAACATTATCTCCCAGCTTTTCAAAACACTTCTCACATCGATAGTGAAGCTTTTCAATTCAGTCAGGAACTTTTCTGAAGCCACCCTGATAAACCCTTTCACGGCAGCTTTGAGGTCATCGTCGTCGTCATATCGTTTTCCATGGTGTTCTTTCACTTCAGGAAACGTGGAAAGTCATGTCTGGCGACACATTGTCGCACAGCAGCCTTTGCAAGTCGAGGTGTTTGAGAAGAAGAGGCATTGTCAGGAAGTAGTAGAACACCAACAATCAGCCTTCCTCACTCCTTTTCTTTGAAAGTGGAAAGTGCCATTCCATGGATTGATGTTTTGACTCGGGATGATAGTGGTACGGCCATGTTTCATCACCCGTTTTGTGTTTGACGAAATCCTCCTCAATTAGCTCTAAATTTTCTCTGGCAATGTCATTTCTTTTTTCCATAAGATCAGAATTTAGAAACCCACATAGATTCTTTTATTACTGTTTACAAACTGAAACATTTGGAAGAATGGTGTTGGATGATAAATAGATTCTCTAATCTTTATCACTGTTCGAACCGAGAAACATGCGTTGAGGTTAAACTTATGACACGAATCAATTAAATGATAAAATTCCACACTATTGAAAACTGCCGACTTCGAAGTTTGTTAAAGTGCTGTATTCATGTTGTATTTTGAAGTCGCTTAATGGCTTTGACAAAACAGTGTCTTTAAAAGCGACATGCCGCGCAAACATGTCCCACGTCAACCGACTTGGTCAACTCGCGTTACCTTGTCCATGTGTTGGTGAAGGGACACTGTGTTGCAGTTTCATTTCACTTGTGTTATTGGGACATAATTACGAATTGTATTTTTACAAAAAAACTTTTAGAATGCAGTAAAAAAAATGTTTTGTTTAATGAACCCAATGTACATGTATAGCATCTCTGTATTTCCCTTTCAACAGTTATTCCCCTAAGCTTGCTGATTCCACTAAGTCGGACAAAGACTGCATGTTCTTGAATTTGAAATTTGCAAATAAGATAATTGATGACTTATATTTAAGTAACTTTCTCAGACAAAAATCATTTTCCCAAAATGTCCCACAATATTCAAATTTCAGGAACCACCAAGAGTTTCACACAAACACCTGTATGGAACGTGTTGCAGAATGAGGACTTTGCAACTCATGTAAATTCCACTGCTTTTGGCTGTCAATACTCGCCATGTTGCTAGCAGTCTCTTGTCATATCTTCACAGGAGACTTCTCTAATGTTGATGATATCAACCTTCGTCTGTTATTCCAATACGGACCAACGTAATATGAGCAGCCTCCATCCCATTTGGATCACAACTTAAAAGAAATTATGAATGCTGTCAAAGCATATGTCCAAATATGGGCCAAACGAGAAGGGGAATATGTTGAATGTATTTCAGAGTGGATGGGTGAGTGAGTGAGTGAGTGAGTTTTACGCCGCTTTTAGCAATATTCCAGCAATATCACGGCGGGGGACACCAGAAATGGGCTTCACACGTTGTACCCATGTCGGGAATCGAACCCGGGTCTTCGGCGTGACGAGCGAACGCTTTAACCACTAGGCTACCAGACCATCCCTCAGAGTGGATGAAGTCAGTGCATGATGTCATTGGTAGAATGTACAAACTGAAAAACAGGAAGCAGAATCGGAACCTATTCTGTCCAAACCAGTTGCATCCAAAGTCTGGCTGCGGAAGAGTTTCTCGTTGTTCCCACTGACAAGGCCCCAATAAAATAACCATTATTTTGTAAGCATCACTACATGAATTTGGTTGATCAATGAAATTGGTATGCCAGTATGTTATTTCTGGAATATGGCACAAATACCGTCAAACGGCTTGGGGTTGTAATGCGACCTAGGCGTGGCAGGCCTATAAAAAGACCTCCAGACAAGATTGTCTTATTACATTAATTGCATGACGCAATAGTTATAAATCTGCTTCTGTTATCAATTGAGAATTCCGTACAATTATAGGAGGGCGAATTTCAACATCTACCGTTAAAACTGGCTTCATGCAGCCCGCCTGAAGGCAAACGTCACGTGATGGGTGTGACACTAACGTCAATCATAGGGGTAAAGATTTTTTTAGACATATTTATTTTCACAAAAGTGTGAAAATGGATTGGTAAACAAGCGAAGTGCTTATGTTAATACCGCTCCATTACACATAGGACATATTACAATGAATACATCAATGAAGGTTAGATGTAACAAATGAATTGTACATGCCAAGCTAGATGTGTACATATAATACATCTATTTGCAGTTTATTTAAAACAATCATTTAACTGAAAATCGGCCAGGTTTTAATATAAAGTGTTGAATAGAATCTAATGTTAGCATTTGCTCTTCCTTACTCAAATACGAATTTCCGCATAGCACTGTTTGTAAAGAATATACATGTTGGTAAAAATCCATTTCATTTCGAAGAGCATAGTAATTTGTACACACAAAAAAGAAGTGTAGAGCATCTTCGGTATGATATACACAGGAACAAGTTTTTGTATCAAAGATATGTCTATTCTACTGATCTGCGTTAAGATCGCTGCAGCCAAGCCTGAGGCAACTGTGAATGATTTGGCATAATCTGCTTCCATAATTTAAATCCCAGTAAAGATTGAGTTCAGCTTGGCAACACCAGGGGTGAGTTGTGCGCCAATGATGTTACACCAAGTCTACAGTGGCGGTATCACATGCCAGGCGAACTAGTTTAGGTTGTTTTGAATGGACATTTGACTCGCCAGTGACAATGTTGACGAAAGTTTGCGTTCTGTAGTTGTTCCATTCGCTCGAATTGCAGGAAAACATCGAACTGCAAGATAAGAATGTCAGACCCCATCGTGCCCACTGTACGCCAGAGACCCAGCGCCTAGCTCTTCATGCGGAATGGCAGGGAATCCAGCATACACAGGTTAATCAACAGTATGCCATCAAGGCGTCGTGCATGTATCGCCCAACATGGTGCACACACCAGATATTGATCTACATCCCGATATCTATTTTTCACACATTTATCATCAATTCACCTTCTTATTTGATCAGATCCTTTAATGTTGTAGGTAGTACTAGTATGTCATGTTTTGACATTTTTCATAAATATGAGGTAGAGTATATCGTAGTCTTCTGAAATTTAGGTGAAGCATGGATATTTTCTTTCTTGCCCGAGATCACTGAAACAGGGTCAGGGATGAGAAGTAAGGTGATTGTTGGTATACTATTTGACTCCGTGAAAGACTGACAGAGATATGATAAAATGGCTGAGTAAACATTTTGGTATACCACTATTAGATAACTAATAATGATCGCATACTGCTCTCATATTTAGTCATCTTGTCAGAGAACAGTGTTAGTTCAGTTGTTCCCTTTGTTAAGTTTTGGTCCAGTTATTCCCTTTATTCAGTTGTTCCCTTTGTTCAGTTTGTCCCCTCGTTCAGTGTTTGTTCAGTTGGTCCCTTTTTGAAGTGTTTGTCCAGTTGGTCCCCTCGTTCATTGTTTTTTCAGTTGGTCCCTTTTTAAAGTGTTTGTCCAGTTGGTCCCCTCGTTCAGTGTTTGTTCAGTTGGTCCCTTTTTAAAGTGTTTGTCCAGTTGGTCCCCTCGTTCATTGTTTTTTCAGTTGGTCCCTTTTTAAACTGTTTGTCCAGTTGGTCCCCTCGTTCAGTGTTTGTTCAGTTGGTCCCTTTTTAAAGTGTTTGTCCAGTTGGTCCCCTCGTTCATTGTTTTTTCAGTTGGTCCCTTTTTAAAGTGTTTGTTCAGTTGGTCCCCTCGTTCAGTGTTTGTTCAGTGTTGTCCAGTTCCCTTTATTCAGTGTTGTCCAGTTGTTCCCTTTGTTCAGTGTTAGTTCAGTTGGTCCTTTTATTCGATGCTAATTCACTTGTTCCCTTTGTTCAGTGTTAGTTCATTTGTTTCCTTTGTTCAGTGTTGTCCAGTTCTCTTTAATCAGTGTTAGTTCATTTGTTCCCTTTGTTCAGTGTTAGTTCATTTGTTTCCTTTGTTCAGTGTTTGTTCAGTTGTTCCCTTTGTTCAGTGTTTGTTCATTTGTTTCCTTTGTTCAGTTGTTCCCTT